GCTGTTTTCAAAAAAGCCATTTCCTCAGAAAGTACATAGTAATATTTCAGGCAGTTATACATGAAAATTGCTTCTAAGCACAATATGCACCAAATGTCACCTTTTAAAATACTCTTAAAATAATTTTTTTTTCTATTTGACGAGAGAGAGAGAGAGAGAGAGAAAGAGAGAGAGAGACAGAGAGAGACAGAGACACACTGATTTCTTGTTCCACCTATTTATGAATTCATTAGTTGCTTCTTCCATGTGCCCTGACTGAGGATTAAACCTGTAACTTTGGTGTATTGGGATGATGCCCTAACTAACTGAGCTACCCGGCCAGGGTCTAAAATATTCTTAAGATTACTAACATAAGCATAGAGCCATAAATCAATAAAATTGAAACAACTTACATAAAGGATATACTTCAACAATTTTCACAAGCAGTATGTTACCTGATCAGGAGGATGGATATGCTGGACACACTGAAATATGTGAATTCCCTGAGGAGAAACAAGTGAAGGATGCAGGGAATGTTGAGACTGGCTTGTGGCAATCAGTGCAACCAAACTTCCCATGGAAATAAACTCTTTCAAAATATTGTTCAAAGCTAGAATCAAGCAATACAGTGTAAAAGCTTAGTAAATCTAAACACAGAAATTTTAAATGAAAAATAATGATAATCTAAAGTCATGCTCTAAGGTGGAATATGAATGGTTAGTCTCCTTCATATTTTTTAAAAATTAAATCTTCTATTCATTCAATGCACTCATTTATCTATTGAGGACCTAAAATTTTTGACCTGGCTCTAACCAATCTAATGGAGCAGACTAAGAGGCACTGAATGCTCAGAAAAATGCCTAGTGAAGTTCCTTACTTCTGGATCGATGCAGCAAATGAAAAGAAGTCTCTGAAATAAATATTATGGAAGGGTAATAACTTTCCACATTGTGTTCTGTAATAAAGCAAAATATAGCTCAACGAGTTCCTGAACAATCGCTTTCCACCCCAGGACTTGCAGGTTTGGGTGGTTATAGGCCGACACTGAACCAGGCATTAGTAATGTGTATCTGAGTACTGACCTAGGAATTTGCAGCATTCCCTTAAACACAATACTTACAAGCCTTGCAAATGCTATAGGATTCAAATGAGATTAACATGGTTTATAATAACCCAAGCCACTGTGCTGCATTTTGTATCTATTTTAGCTCTTGAGAACCTTGAGGCAGCTGCATGCTGCCAAATCCTCTACCCAGTGCCCCTACCCCCAGTCCTCTCCTTGAATTCTAAGCTCCAGCCATGGGTTATTCCCTAACATACCATGATTCTTGTACCCCTGTGCTTTGCCAGTGGACCACACTTTTTTTTCTCCCCCATCAAAACTCATCTCAGTTATCAACTCCTCCAAGAAGCCTTCCCTGTCAAGTCCTTACCCTCATACGACCCCCAATTTGGGGTATGTGTCCTATAGTGCCCTGTAATACTCCAAACAGAGCATACTGTCCACCTCCTGGTTGGGTCACCCTGGTCAAATGACCTATTCTTTGAATATCTCTTTCCCACCTGTAAAACCAGAATATCTGCATGTAGAGTACAAAGCAATCTGTAGCCCAGAAAGGGCACTCATCACATGGCAGCTACCATTATTTTTATCAGTATTCTAAATTAAAATTGTCTGTTTACTTTTCTCTCTTCTCCCAGACTTTGAAAATAAAGACTGCACAAGCAATAGACAAATATTTGTCAAATGAACAAAGCAAGCGTAAATCTGTACAATTAAGCAATTTCTTATCAGTTCAGGAGAATGAAAAGGCCCCAAAGCCCGATCATGAAGTTGCAGAGTTTCCACACTGCTCTTATTCTACAGATTTTTGCGAATACAGACCACGTGTAGAATGCTATCAGAAGCTCGAGACATAACAGCAAATATTCTTTTCTCTGAAGAGAGAAGATTTGCCATTAAGACTAAACAGGCTGCCTGATGAAAGAAAAGGCCTGAAGCCAGGGATGGGTGTGCTGCCATTACCATGCGCCAGCCGCTGGCTCTGCACCACCTCAGGACCCCGCTCGTGCTCCGGTGCAGCAGGCAGGCCAACAATGAGATCCAGGTCGTCCAGCAGAACAACAGAAGGCTGCCTCCAGGCAGCCTCTGAGAAAGCTGCCTCTAGGGTTTTTTGTATGTTTTCAAGCCTTTTTCCTTAAGACAAAAGATATCAAGTAGTTAATGTTATTTCAGGGCTGGGAAAGCTCAGGCTACCATTTTGAAAGCATTAGAAAAGCTCAATATTAACTATTAAAATTTGATCCATATTTTGTTAATATACCAATTTTTAAAATTTGTTAATCATTGACATGGTTTAATTAATACAGTGTCAAAGGAGGAAGGAATTTTATAAAACTAAAAAAGGAATATGCTATTATAATTTCTGAATGTATGTATTTATACCTCACCTCGTTCCATATGGAATTTCAGGTGGCTTACAACAAAATAGTAAAATAAAGGCATATTGTGGGAAAATGTAAATGAGAACAGGGGATCAGGATTTAGATAAAATCAAACACAAATGATCCTAGAATTGCTGTATATGAAGAATAAATTTGGCTTTAAAGTTCCTGGTGAATTATAAAGTCTTAATTTTCAAAGAATGGAAAACATACCAAATCATAAACCAATGTAAGGAGTTATTTAGCTGCAAAACAAAATTTTCACATGAGGCTTCAAACAGGACTGGGAGATGGGGAATCTCTCCAAAACCACCTTTACAGCATATGGAATAATGGGTTTCGCAAGCTATTTCTACTTTCTTACCATATACTAGATAAAAAAACAACAACCTGAAATTAAACAATGAGTTGGAACTATATAGTAGAGGTAGCCAAGGGGGTAAAAATAACTACTCAAAGTAAAATCTTTCCAATTGTTTAAAAAAATTGAATAGATAATAATGTCAATGTTAAAGACTTTTAAAAGTACAGAAGTGCAGCCCTAGCTGGTTTGGCTCACTGGATAGAGTGTTGGCCTGCGGACCAAGGGTCCTGGGTTCCATTTTGGTCAAAGGCACGTGACTTGGCTGCAGGCTCCCAGCTGGGGCCCTGATTGGGGCTTGTGCAGGAGGCAACCAATCAATGTGTTTCTCTCACATCGATATTTCTCTCTATTTCCCTCTCTTCCACTCCTTCTAAAAAACAATGGAAAAATAGCCTCTGGTGAGAATAGAAGTACAGAAGTGCATTTGGTAAATTGTAATTCACTTTGCTGTCCACTTCTACTCACCTTCCCTCCCGAGGTAACCGCTCTGCCAGTTTCCCATAACAATTCAGGGATAATTTATACCCTTTAGAGCAGGGGTGGGGAATAGAATCATTTGGTCTGGTCCTGCCAATGCATTAGTGGTGAGTTAATTAAATGTTTGACCAAATATAGCATGATAATTTTTAAGTTGATAATTTTGTATGGTCCTCAAATTATGTTATAAATATCCAACTAGCTTTTGGCAGTAAAAAGGTTCCCCACCCCTGCTTTAGAGTATATTCTAAATACTAACTTTCTCAGAGTGGCATTTTCAGGAATACAGTTTACAAAGAGTTTTGGCTAGAAAAAAAATGGCCTCCATTCATATGGAAAGTTTAAGCATTTTTATTAAATGCATTAGGACAAAAATTAAGCCTCATCAATCAAGTACACACTATTATATGACAATATAGCTAAATAAAGCTGGGGGAGGGTGTGACCCACATCTCTGGAACTCTAGGATCACTTTACGGTGAGTGACATGTAACAAGTAACAGGAATGAGAGCACCTGGATTCATGTAAGACAGCACTGCAGGATAAGTGGAAAAAACTATTTCCTAAATACTCAAGTCTAGCAAAGAGAACACATTATATTCTACAAAGACACCAGGAGGTTCCAGCTTCCTAGCCTTAATAGCAGGATTCAAGTATTCTATAACCATACTAAAGGTAAACAGATGACAACACAATATCAGGAATATAAACCCACTGAAAGGAGCACTTCCCCACCCCACTCCAACCTCAATTTGTACTAATACTAAAAACAATAAATTGCTTTGAAAAAAAGGGAAAAAAGAGTATACATCAATTTAGCTGCTGTGTGAGATATGCAGCGGCTACTAAAGCAGGGCTTTTTTTTTAAAGCTTACAGGAACTGTATGTATGCATCCTATGTCATTAGAGTGCCTACATGGCAAATAAACATCTAATTTGGTTTTTACAATTTGTTAGTTAAAACAATCACTAATATGTAAATCTTTTCTCTTTAAAAACAGGTAATGCTTCATTATTTATTAATAGGAGGAAATAATGTGAACATTCAACAATTATTTTAGATAAATAAAACTTATTCCTATTTAATTTCAAATATTTTTAATGAAAAATATTACCCACTTCTCTTATTATCTTAAGTAAACTATAACTTTAATTCAGTTTCTTAGTACAGCGTAACTTGACCAATTAGGGTACAATGAAGCCCGCAGAGACTATTAAGGTGGGTAGAAGAGTTTACTTTTCACATGAGGTAACTCCAGATTATATAGGGTTTTGATCCAATGTGCACTTTTTATCCTAAGTAAAAGTTTAACTTTTTCCTGATTATAATTTTTAGAACGTACATAATAATTATAAATACTTAGTAGAGAAAGCTAAAAAATCTCTGGTAATCATCCCACCACACAGAAGTACCCTTTGCCAAGTGTTCTGATATGTCATCCTTATAGGCACTCCACTAACATTTATGCAAATTTATAAAGATGGGATTACAGTATTCATGCAAGTTTGCAGTAAACCACCATCCTCTTTATCAACAAATATAGAGCAGCATCTGCTCCCTAGTATACCACCACTGTGGGATGTATTGGATCACAACGTTCAAAAAGCCCCTTCTTAAGTGTATATTTATGCTGCTCCCAATTTTTAATTATTATAAGCTAAAATAAATATACACATACATACATATGTTTACTTATTTGTCAGATTATACCTTTAGGATAAATTTCTAGAAGCAGAATTCTACATCAAAACCTTTGTTTGTTTTTACATACTTAAAATTTTGCTAAGTATTGCTAGAGTGCCCCCTTAAAAAGCTCAACACTGGTAGATTTTTATAGTTCTTTTAATAAATATTGATTTCTTCCCTCACACTACTATTATTTCTTACCACTGTTGTTTTGCCTAGCTATAGCAACCCTACATTATTCTAATATGTTGTTTTTCATTATTGTGGACTAAAAAAACAGCCAAGGTTTTGATGCAAAGTTGAAATTCAACAGGCACTCAACAAACACGACCATCATCATAGTTTACAGAATTACATTTATATCTGAAGTCAATGGGTTTCAAAAAGAAATTGGGGTGTGGTGGGATAGGTCCCACCAGTCATAATCATTTTGCCTAGAGGCCTTTTCTCCTTCCTGAAAATAATTCACATTTGTACAGCACTTTTTAGTTTGCAGAGCCTTTTCGTGCATATTATTTCCTTAAATGAGGTGATTCTAAGAAGGCAAATAAGACACTAAAAAATGCCTGCAGTCAGGGCCAGTAAGTTCATGAGAGACGTGGGACTCAAATCCAGGTCTTTGCTTGTTCTCCCCATTAGCCACGCTATCCTACATGAGACTTTAGTTTCTGAGTCAGTGGGAAATTCCTTTTTTCAAAAATAATATTCTACCATGATACATTTTGAAATTTGACATAGATAATCTAGAAACCACAGAGTATCTGCTATATTTTACTAGCTTTGCACACCTGGGATAAAGCCAACTTGATTGTGGCATATAATTCTTTTCACACATTGACCTGATTTGCTAATATTTTGTTGAGAATTTTTATATTTATGTTTATGAGAGGTACTCTGGTTTGTAGCTTTCTTTTCCTGTAATGTCTTTGTCTGGTTTTGGTGTTAGGGAAATGCTGGCCCAATAGAATGAGTTAGGAAGTATTATCTCAGCTTGTATCCTCTGGAAGAGACTGTAGTGAAGTGGTATTATTTCTTACTTGTTTGGCAGAATTAACCCATGAACCCATCTGGGGCCTGGTGCTTTCTGTTCTGGATGACTATTAATTATTGACTCTATTTCTTTAACAGATATAGGCCTTTTTATATTGTCTGTTTCTTCTTGTGTGAGTTTTGGCAGCTTGTCTTCCAAAGGAATTGCTCTATTCATCTATATCATCATATTTGCGGACACAGAGTTTTCATTACTATTACTACTTTATTATCTTTTTTTCTATCCTCACCCAAGGATACATTTCTTAAATTGATTTTTATACAGAGAGAAGGGATGGGGGAGAGGGTGGGAGGGAGGGATTGTGGGAGGGTGGGGGAGAGAGAGAGAGGGAGAGAAGGAGAGAGAGAAATACTGATGAGAGAAGCATCCATCAGTTGCCTCCTGTATGTGCCCTGACTGGGAATCGAACCTGCAACTTTTTGGTAAATGGGAGGATGCTCCATCCAATCTAGCCACCTGGCCAGGGCACTTTATTTATCCTTTTAATGTCCATGGGAAATTTATCGATACCCCCCTTTCATTTCACATATTGGTAGTTTCTCTCTCCCTC